GCTCGAGTGAGGAAGGTCACGTTGCCAGCTATCTCTTCCATTACAAAATTTGGCAAAGTAACTTCGTAGTGTCCTGTACCGGTGCGTGCTTCTGCGCATTTCAGGCATCCAACTAGTTGGATGAGGTGCAACGCCCAGTGTGAGGTCCTAGACCGGAACGCGGGCGGTCACCTAGGTGATAGGGCTAGGTAGGGCAGCGAGGTGCACGCTGCAAGGGGGTGGCGTCCCTTCCAACCCAAGCTGGCGGGCCTGGAGCCCCGTAGGTGGTGAGCGAAGAAGTAAAACCCGGGAGGAGGTGAGGAGGTCCCTTTCTTAATTTAAGTAAGGTGGGCACATAGTGCCCCACCTCCCTGGCCCACAACTGGGGCAGTAAGTGTCTTTAACATCTGGCGTAAATGGGCCAAGGAGGGAAAATAATAATACGCTTGCCGCCTAATGGGGTTACAGAGCCCTCCCGATGGTTTTGCACCCACGACCTCGGCATCAAGTAAGGATCATGAGTGGCACCAATGGGAAAAGATGACAAAGGAATCAAAACAGATAATAAAAATGAAAAGCGATGATGAAGCCTCGGACACGGGTGCTCCTGACCCTGGAGCTCCCGTGGCGGACTTGTCCGCTGTAGATGACAGGGTCACTGTTGACGAACCTGGCGATTCCAATGGACATGACTTTGGGCAATGTGTGGACATGCCCTTGGGCGGGCAGATCCAGTGCGGGCTGTGCTGGCAGAATAGCAGGAACATACAATTCCTACAGGAGGCCAAGTTTCAAGATCACGTTGACAGGCAGCATCCCAAGATGAGCATTACATGGAGGTGCGCTGCATGCCTGAAAAGCTTTACAAAGCTTCATGCATGCAGATGTCACCTCCCAAAATGCAAGAAAACAACGGAGGATAGGGATGCTGAACCTGATAAGGCACATAAATGCGGCTCCTGTGGGATGTCATTTGAAACCAAAAGGGGACTTTCGACGCACGAAAGGCATCGTCACCCCGAAATCAGAAATGTGAAAAGAACGACAGCCAGCACAAGCCAAAGTAAGGGTAAACCGGGCAGAAAGGCAATGATATGGACGGATGAGGAGGTGGCCCTGTTAGCTGATCTAAATGAGAGGTACAGGCACCTTCCTCAGCCGAACGTAAAAATTAGAGAATTCTTGCCCGGTAAGACCCTGAAACAGATAAGCGACAAGAGGAGGGCGCTTCCCGCCCAGGGCATGACGAGCTTGGCCGAGGAGGGCGAAGTACTAGAGAGGATGGACTCTAGCTCGTCCTCCAATTTGTCCAATAAATCGGCCGAGGACCAAATCGAAGACCCCCTGAGTGAGGAAGGAATAGATTGGATAGAATCACTCAGGAGGTATATCCTGGCTCAATCTGTGGATGAAGAAAACGAATTTTGCGAATTGGACAAAGAAATTCAGGATTGGGCCAGTAACCCTGGGGAGAGAGCACCTGATATCGAGCGGTGGATCGGCACATTCACTGAAAAGATCATACAAGGCACAGAGGGGAAGCATTCCGGAAACAACAAAAAAGCAATAAATAAAAGTAAAAGTAAATGTATAAGTAACAAGAAACCAAACGCGCACACCCGCTGGAAATGCTTCTCCTACGCTCGATATCAGGAAATGTACAAAAAGTGCCCCAGAAGACTGGTCGATATGGCTATCGCGGGAAAGTTGGTTGAGGCAAGGGAGCGTACTAAACTCCCTGATAAGGCTGAGATAGAGTGCCTCTATGGAGGCATATGGGGTAGAGTGGCATCTACCTCAGGTCTACCGAAACTCGGAGGGGGCCCGAGTATCAACTTCCCAATGAGCGAAATTTTAACTCCAGTCACCACTGAGGAGCTTGTGTCTAAAATGAGAAAGATTAAAGCGAACACGGCTGCGGGAGTCGATGGCGTTAGGAAGCCTCACCTCCGAAAAGAGGGAGCACTGTTCCTGTTGTCGAAGCTGTTCAATTGCTTAATGATCTCAAGAGCCTACCCAGAAAGATGGAAGATAAATCGAACAACATTGATACCTAAGCCTGGTAAAGAAACCAGAGATGTTAAAAACTGGAGGCCAATAACTATCGGCTCTCTACTGGGTAGGCTTTATTCATCAATGCTCGACAACAGGTTAAGAAATATAATCCAGCAAAATACACGGCAAAAAGGTTTCACGCATGAGGATGGCTGTAAACTAAATATAGCCATACTTAGTGAAGCCTTAAACAGAATAAAAGAAAAAGGAGGGGGAATAATAACGACCATCGACATCTCCAAAGCCTTTGACACAGTCCCCCATAG